CCTGGGCTGTGATGGCCGAAATCGAATATTGAAGCCAAAAACGGTGACCCGGGCTCCGGAGTGGAAATCCACGTCCGGAGCCTGAAAACTCCACCCCGGGTCGTGATGGCCGAAATTGACGTTTGAAGCCAAAAACGGCAACCCAGGATGCGAAGGCCAAAATCCATCGCCGGACCCCGAAAATTCCCCCCCGGGCTGCGATGGCCGATATCGACTTTTGAAGCCAGAAACAGCGACCCAGGCTGCGGAGGCCAAAATCCACGTGCGGAGACCGAAAATGCCCCCCCGGGCTGTGATTGCCAAAATTGAATTTTGAAGCCGAAAACAGCGACCGGGGCTGTGGAGGCGGAAATCCATATCCAGAGCCCGAAAACGCCCCCCAGAGCCACGATGGCCGAAATCGAATTTTGAAGCCGAAAACTGTGACACACACTGGGAAGGCCAAAATAAACATCTGGAGCCTGAAAACTCCCTCCCTGGGCAGTGATGGCCAAAAACGACTTTTGAAGCCAAAAACCAGGTTGCGGAGGCCAAAATTCACGTCTGGAGCCCGAAAAAGCTCTCCTCGGGCTACGATGGCCGAAATCGACTTTTGAAGCCGAAAACGGCGACCTGGGCTGCGGAGCCAGAAATCCACGTCTTGAGCCAGAAAATGCCCCCCTTGGACCGCGATGGCCAAAATCATTTTTTGAAGTCGAAAACGGCGACCCTCGCTTCAGAGGACAAAATCCAGGTCCGGAGCCCAAAAACGCTTTGGAGCCAGAAATCCACGTCTGGAGCCTGAAAACTCCCCCCCCCCCGCGGCCGCGATGGCCAAAATCTGCTTTTGAAGCTTTAAACAGCGACCCGGGCTGCAGAGCCAAAAATCCACGTCCAGAGCTCGAAAACTCCCCCCCTGGCCGCGATGGCCGAAATCGACTTTTGAAGCCAAAAATGGAGACCCGGGCTGCGGAGCCAGAAATCCACATCTTGAGCCAGAAAATGCCCGCCTTGCACCGCGATGGCTGAAATCATTTTTTGAAGCTGAAAACAGCGACCCTGGCTGCAGAGGCCAAAATCCATGTCCGGAGCCCGAAAACGCCCTCCTCAGGCCGCGATGGCCGAAATCGACTTTTGAAGCCAAAAATGGAGACCCGGGCTGCGGAGCCAGAAATCCACCTCCGGAGCCCGAAAACGCCCTCCTCAGGCCGCGATGGCCGAAATCTGCTTTTGAAGCTTTAAACAGTGATCCGTGCTGCAGAGCAAAAAATCTACGTCCGGAGCTCGAAAACTCTCCCCCGGGCAGCGGTGCTCAAAATCGACTTTTAAATCCAAAAACGGAGACCTGGGCTGCGGAGCCAGAAATCCACCTCCGGAGCCCGAAAACGCCCTCCTCAGGCCGCGATGGCCGAAATCGACTTTTGATGCCGAAAACTGCGAACTGTGCTGTGGAGGCGGAAAGCCACATTCGCAGCCCGAAATGGCCCCCCCGGCCACAATGGCCGAAATCGACGTATGAAACCTAAAACGGCAACCTGGGCTGTGGAGGCCAAAATCCACGTCTGGAGCCCAAAGAAGCCCCTCTCGTGCTGCAATGGCCAAAATCCACTTATGAAGCCGAAAACGCCGACCCGGGCTGCGGAGGCCAAAATCCACGTCTGCAGCACGAAAAAGCCCCCCTCGGGCCGCGATGGACGAAACGACTTTTGAAGCCGAAAACGGCGACCCGGCTGCAAAGCCAGAAATCCACATCTCGACACCGAAAAACCCCCGCTTGTGCAGCGATGGCCAAAATTGACTTTTAAAGCCAAAATAGGAGAACTATGCTTCGAAGGCCAAAATCCACGTCCTGAGCACGAAAACTTGCCCCTGGGCCGCGATGGCCTAAATCGACATTTGAAGCCGAAAACGGCAACCGGGACTGCGGAGGACAAAATCCACGACTGTAGCCCGAACACTCCGCCCCGGGCCGCGATGGCCAAAATCGACTTTTGAAGCCGAAAACGTTGACCCGGGCTGCAGAGGCCTATATCCACGTCTGGAGCCCGAAAAATCCGCCCCTGCGGCAGCCAAAATCTATATCTGGAGCAGGAAAACTCCCGCATTGTCTTGAGCTAATCTGTAGGTAAACTGAGTTGCTGCCGTGTGTAGAAAGGACGGCAGGACTTTCACGCATTTCTGAGCAAGTTGAAGACACTGTGTGGAAAAGTGTCTCGCAATCAAAACTGATATGGGGAATGTTATACACAGCTAGTCAGTTTTCTAAAGACCACAGTGATAAACATGACTGGTCTTGCTGAAAACGCTTTTCAAAAGCGGGATCATGCAGCAAAATGGAGCACGAGCTTGTGAAAGTCATCTTGTCAGTGGGACTGAACACCTGCATGTTGCTCTGTGCAAGCAAGTTCCGCACATGCCTCATAGCTGAGATGCGTTGTTGTGTTCTCCAGAACCTGGGGAAGGCTTTTCCCATATTTCTGAGGCACTTCAAGTGATTGGGGGAGGATAAATGGAATCGTAACCAAAACTGACATAGGGGAATGTTGACCTAAATGTATGCAGCTAGATACAGTGTTTTAATGCAATTTCCACCGAATTCCATACCTTTCTCTGGAAAAAGGCTCCGAATCAAGACTCATGTCGTTTCTGTGACATTATTCTCAGCGAGCATCAAACCTTTACTTTTTCTCTCTACATGAAGGTGCCATATAAATCATGGGCTTGATCCGAGTTGTTGCGGTTTCTCTAGCGTCTGGCAAGTTTTTCACACCTTTCAGAGGCAATACAAGAAATGGCTTGACAAATCCTCTCGTAATCAGAAGTGTTGCAGGGGAATGTTGAATGAAGTGTTTCTAGCTAGCCACAGTTTGTTAAGTGGCATATGGGCAAACTCCGTAGAGTTTGGTGATTTTGTCTCCAGATGAGGGCTCATGCAGAGCTTTTGAAAGCTTTCTCTCTACACCAAAACTTCACCTATAGGTGGACAACAAGCCATCAAGAACAGTATCCCTGATGTCACGGCATATTTGGTGGCTGAGTTTTATGACTCTGTCTTCACCCACAACCATTTCAGATTTGGGGACTGTAACGGGTTGAGGCAACCCCGCACTAAAGGGGCCCCCCCCAGCGAGGCTGGGAAAAGCGACGTGGCTGGTCTCGCCGCTGCCGAGGACGCGTCCGGTGGGGTAACCGGAACGTGCCGCTCGGCAGGAGGTCGAGGTGGCGGGACCCCGAGCAGCGTGGGGGAGGGTGGTGATGGGGTGAGGACCGCCGCCGGGGACGCAGTCCGGAACACCGCGGGGGAAGGACCCAGGGACAACGGGGAAGGAACGTCACCCCACCAGCTTCGGGGCGGGCGGCCCCGCGGACGCCCCCAGGCAGCCCTATGCTCCACAGCTGCGGGAGGCAGGGAGGACGCTGGGGGTGAGGGGAAACAGCTGGGGAGGAGGAGCTGGAGCCGCAGGTGAACACAGGTGTGGGTGCTCTGGATGGGCGGGGGCGGCACCTTCCCCAGGTATAAAGCCAGCAGAAGCAGAAGCAGGGAAGAAGGACGAGGAGGAGGACGCTGGAGGAAGAGACTGAGCGGCACGAGGAGGCAGCAGGGCAGGCCGGCTGGTGAGCGGACGAGTGGGGACGTGAGGAAGCAGCCCAGGGCGGGTGTACTGGAGCCCAAGGGTTGATGTGTTGCGGCTCCGTGCCCCATCAGCCAGGTTGGGGGAGAGAGGAGCATCTTCCCTGCCTTAGGGCCCTGGGCTGGGGTCTGGAGAGAGGGAGGGCCCGGACCCCCCTCACCTCCTCGCTTGTGGGATCGTCTGGGCAACCGACAGGAGGGTCAACCCGGCTCCGCGTCACGGAGACTGGGACTGTCCGGGACGGCGACTGGGGTAGCGGGGGCCTATGGACCCCGTAACACGTGGTGGAGAATGTGGGCACGGGGCCCCTGAATGGAAGGGGGGGTGCTAGAGGAGCTGGGACGGCTCTAGGATACGGATAAGGGCGGAGGTTTGTGGTCTTCTCTTCAAGGGGGCCGCCCAAATGGAGCCGGCAAAGGTATTGGAGTGGGTGATGGAAAACCAGCGTCAGCAGCAGCACCAACAGACGCAGATCGTGCAACAGCTGGTGTCGCAGTTCCAAGAACAACAGCGGCAGCTGGTTAGAGAACTCACAGAACACCAACAGGCGGTAGGGGCCCGACGAGGGAGAGGGAATGCCCCCTGGCCAGGGGAGGAAAACGCAGCTGGCGGGGCCCAGCTGCCCGTTCGTTTAGCAAAGTTGGGCCCAGAGGATGACGTGGAGGCCTTCCTCGTAACGTTTGAACGAGTGGCCACAGCGGCAAAATGGAAGAACACTGGGCGACTATAGTGGCTCCCTACTTGTCAGGGCCGGCCCAGATGGCATACCGGGGGTTTCCCGCGAGGGATGCGCTCAACTACTATAAAGTGAAGGAGGCCATATTAGATCAGGTAGGGATAACCCCCGAAACGTACCGCCAGCGGTTCCGGCAAGAGCGATACCGGCCAGGAGACCGGCCCCGCGCGGTGGCCCACCGCCTGAAGGAGTCTGGGGTGCGGTGGCTGGAACCCGAGCCCAAGACGGGAATGCAGGTGGCAGAGATCGTCATTTTGGAACAGTTTATACAGGTATTACCAGGGGAAGGCCAGAGGTGGGTTCGACGCCACCGTCCCTCCACCCTCGCGGAGGCAGTAACTTTGATGGAGGACTTTATGGCCGCGGAAGGAACAGAGGAGCGCGGGAAGACTCCGGTGAGTAGTCAGCTGGGGAGAGCATCGATCGTAAGTAAGGGCCCTGCCGGGAGGGGCGAGCGGAGGCAGTCGGCGGAACCGGGGCCAGCCTGGGGGCGGAAATTAGCACCGTGTGGCGAAACCCAGCAGAAGAACCCAGGGAGGAGAAGAGGGGGCCCGCCACCGAGAAAGACAATGGACGGAAGGTGGGGCCACCTAGTAAGCAGGTCTGCTTCCAATGCGGGCAGGAGGGCCACTTCCGCCGGGAGTGCCCCGTAATGGACTGTACGTTTGGACGAGTGATGACCTGGGAGGCCCAGAAGGCAAAAAGCCCACCGAGTAAGGTGATGGTAAGGATAAAGGTGGGGGGCTGTACCGTGGAGGCACTGGTGGACTCCGGCTG